CACCCACATTTTCGCTCGCACACCCACAGCAACCAATATTTGCATAAGTTCCATTCTGCACTTCTTTGCAACACCACTGACAGTGTCAATCGGTGTTTCCTTGGTAACGAACGGTACGTTGCAGTTCTTGTTGGAGGCCAATTCTTGTGCTTCCTCTTCCATAGATTTGTGTTCCAAAAAAGGGTAAGATCATGACTTATGAGTATCATACGAGTTTTGTGGCCCTTGATCGTCACATTCACTCATAAGGCGTGAGGAGTGACGAATAGCAATTCGCTGTATTTTCCTGATACAGCTCTTCATTTTCTAAGAGAATGATCTGAAAATGAACACGAGCATTACGAGATGTGACTGTAAATTTAAGCCTGCATGACACTTAAACACTATACGCCTCCTTGAAGAATCTCTAAAAGTGTTCAACTGCACTACGTACATCTTCAGTGAGGGCAAGTCATTGATGTATGTGTGTTCATGATGGCTCATGTCATTCTCATTGATGAGATTATGAAGGAGCACAGCTCCATGTTCAAACTAATCTCGAAGATGGTACCCGCATCGTAAGATATGCACATGCATTGCAATTTTGCTCGATTGTTGATCAAATGCCTAAAGATGGAGGTAATCCTATCATTATAAGATGCAAGTCGCTGAACTGGGATTTATTGGTAACTTTGTCGATGGGATCAACTGTTTAAGAGTTGTGCATTGCAATTCAAGGGATACTATTGAGGCAGTAATAAAATCGAAAGATGTTCAGATGGAAAAGCCAGAGTTGGCTAAATCAACACGTTCCAGCGGTAGAGAATCGCAATCACCACCAAACCGACTCTCGTTGAAGTCTGAAAATCAAGCGGATGCATCGAATTCGCAACGTCCTGAACAAACCCCACAGGGCTTAAGTAAGGCGTTCTTTTAGCTATGCAACTTTTGAGTATCTTGAATAGTGTTCGGTCAGGATCCCCCGGTCCAGTTTGTTTCCCGACGGGTTCCCCCTCTCATGGCCAAACTGTTGCTTCTCGATGAGCAACAATCTTGCATCTGAAATTAGCTGACTGAGCTGACTCGAAAACATTACGGAAATCAAAATTTTTTATAGGAATGAGCAAAAAACAATTCGTTATTTCTCCCTAAATGCTCCTCAATTCAGTGTTTTTATCAGCAGAAATCTTTGACTCTGCACGCTCAATGCTCACTTTCATCACTGATGTTCTCTAGGTGCTTATTTCAAAATTTCTTAACACCTCACTCTCAAGCGGTTTTCTTCATTTTCAGGCACTGGTACCAAAAAAGAAATAAAGTGCCCGGTTTGCAAGGTTCTGCTTTAATTCCTTTCAAATTCAGATTCTAATCGCATTCAGATATTCACAAAAACCTCAAAACTGTTCCTAGCTCACTAGTATAGGTCTCAAGCAACTAGCCTCTATGCATGTCTCTTCAAACTGTTTACAAATGCCGAGTACATCTAAGTAATCCGTCCCAATTCCAAATACTCACGGTAATCAATGAGTGCGATCAGATGAAGTTGATGTGAACGTGCTTTATAACGAATTTGCCCAATAAAACGCGCAGTTCCCATGCTATATGAAGTGAATTCACGTTAGAAAAAACCCACTTCAGTGGCTTCGATACAATGAAGTTGCATTGCAATGAATGACGGACGGTTGTCAGTAATTTCAAAGGGGTCTGAACTTCAACGATTATTAAAGCTAATTCAAAACCATCACTAACAATATCTTTGATATACAACCTTCTGAGCGATCAAGATAGAGTTAATTTATAAATTCATGCGTTAATCTGAGGGGATGAGTGCTAAAGTTAGTATGGTTACGTCTGAGTACATTTTTAATATTTCTTATGTAATAAATTAATGCTGTATATTCTGTTTCGAAACATTGGCTCACTTTAAACAATCACCACAATTGTGAATCTGAATGATTTTCTTGCAGAATAAATCGTTCCAGAAGGCATTTCAACCAGCNTTGTGGATTCACAAAATACGCTATTGCAATATTTGCGGTGCTGAGTTTTAAAATTTGTTTGCATTCGTCAGTACGTGATCTCTTTTGTTGTGTTATTATTGGTTTTTGTATTCAACTTTGTTGATTCGATTGATTCAAATTCGCATTATTCAAATGAAACAGAACTCACGCGGCAGGCAATCGGTTTCCATAGTATTCGAATGGTGTTTTGTTTGAATGCAAATCGTTTTGTAGTGTTTCGATGTTGTTGTTTGATGAAATGAAGTATTAAGTGAAGTAGTAACGTATTTGTCATAAACTTTTCCATCTTTTGTCTTCACATACGAATATTGATGCAGAACACATGAACGTTTCGCTTAAATTTTTCAGTACCACAATTCCAGTGGGAAACGTTTTGTTGCAGTACAGTTTAGAGCACTGCTTGCCGTGCTGATCCGTGATTGATCGCGAAGGATTCAGATGAATTCTTTGCGATTCAATGAATGAACCATTCATTTTCTCATAAAAAATGAGCAGTTTTTTTTTGGATCAGTCTCTTACTTAAGTCTCCATTTTGATCGGCTCATCACTCGAAGATAGGTCATATCATGGATGCAGATGCTTCCCTTTATGGCAACTGCAACATGCACAATATGAGTGATGCCATAAGCCAGTGTCAGTTTTGTGATGATGTTTGTGTTCTTAATGAGGTGCTTTTACTTCGGAATATTTTATGAGTAGGTTGAAAAATCTTGTGGGAAGCAGCCTGTGACAGTCTTTTGAGACATAGTAGACATAAATCAGCAACCGATTATAAAAACATAAAAGTACAAAAAGCATTAGTGATCGTGAATGAAAAGCGCTTTTTCATCATGTTTTATCTCATGTGAGTAGCTATCAAACGTTTGATTAAACGCGATGCCTTTGATCTACTCGTAGCATTTCAATATATTTTCCCATAGAATGATGAAGTTTCAGCAGGCGGATTCGAATGTTTAATTAAAATACACTCAACTATCTTCCGTCCTTATCGTATACTCTGGCTTTTTTTTTGTTTTCGAATATTCACGAACACCAAATTTCCGATGAGAAAATTCGCAGCAATACTGATATCGTTGAGTACTTGGAGAAAAAACCCTAACTGTTGAAATCAGTCAGTCATTCGAGTGAAGCATTCAGCTAACTCCTGTATGATACGCCTATTTGCCTTAATGAGCTATAACTTCTGTTGCGTTTCCACTATACTAACGTATTACATGATATTCTCGCTTTTATTCATTCGTAATCCTGGTAGTTCAAGCAGCTGTTCATGTGATCATTTCCTAAATCCTTCGACGATCAATTTATCCGAGCTTGACCCGAGCTATTGCTGGTTGGAGACCATTCCGCTTGAGTTCATACCGCTGTGATTATATCCGAACCAACATCTTGTGTCAGTGTACAAGCGAATGGCTGTGTGTGTGTATGTTCACCTTTGAGAGTTATCACTATCGATGCATCTCGTAATGAGAGGATGGTTTCGTCGTGAATATTAAATGAATCGTGACCCTTCAGCTATCCAGTAACTTCAAATTTCCAGCAATGGTCGATGTTGCAAGTGTTCATTGGCAAAGTGCTTGCTATGTTGCCGTTGGCTTCGTATTGTTTCTGGTGAATGCGTTGGCTTTCAGCGTCATAATATTCAACAAGGACCTTCGTGTCATTTTCGCAGTGATTTCGGCACTGTTTTTCGCCGGTGCTTTGACAGGTATCCAGCCATCGAATAGTTTTGCATTCCTTCCTGGTGATTTCGTGAACAGCACCTTCTATGCGCGGCTGCAGTGGCTTCTGAAGTCCCAGGATGAAAGCAACTCGATACGATGCTTTCCGATGAAAACTATTGAAAACTGTGACATCAGAGGTACAGAAAACATCAGAAACTTTAATCAAAGTATAGAAGATTTCATAAATTTCCTGACGTTAAAGGAGTAGCGGCTGTCTTCAAGGGAGTGCAGTGGTTCAGACAAGCCAACATGAACATCCAAAATGACCGCATCATCAACTCGTTCACTTGTCTAAAGCATGTGAGTGCTGAACTTGTCGATCTTATCAGAATCCAATTTTTACTCTAAAGATAATTCTCAAAGTTCTATCTCCATATACGAGCTGATTTATGGTTAATGAATTTGTGTTGATAATTGTGTGTGCTGTGCGATTTTTGACTGTGTGAATTTGTCAATTTCTCATTATTGAATGAAAAATGTTCTGGTTATGGAGAGGATCAGACTTAGGCTTGGGTAGCGGCTCAGACTCGGAGGTAAGGTTAATTTTGTCAACGATGTAGGCTTTGGCATCATCCATCACTAAAACGTATGCAAAATACACCCTACCCAAAGATATGCCGTATTGATGTTGATCGTGGCACACTTCATAACAGTACTAAAGTTAGTCTGTCGTCAAAGGTGAACAGATGGTAATCATCCTTACTGTACGCAACTGATGAGTCTAGTCACGCAAATCTGATCCAATCAAGCTTGGATAGTTGGTGAT